AGAGATAGATCGATAGATAGATAGATAGATAGATAGATAGATAGATAGATAGATAGATAGAAAATACATTTTTATTAGACTTTCATGAGAGGGACTGTTTTGGGCCTTAGGGTAAAAGGTGTAAGGTTTAAAATGGACTGTCATTGCTCCAAAAAGAATTCATCAAAATCAACGAGAATGCCCATTTTGGGCCCAAAGGTGATAATAATTTTAAAGATGCCTCAAGGGTTAATATGATTAGAAAAGTGACAGGTTTTTGTACGAACTGAAAAATGTTCTGTTTTGATGCTTCCTAACATTTGCATTTTATTAACATCCATCCATTATCTTTTACCCTCTCCTAACTTTTTGGATCATGGGGGTCACTGGTGCCCATGTCTAGACATCACTGTGCAAGGGGTGGGGGACACCCTGGACAGTTTCCCAGTCCATCACAGGGACACAGAGACGAACAAGCTAAACAACCATTCACTCTCTCACTCGCACCTAGGGACAATTTAGAGTTACCAATGTTGTTAGTCTGTGGGAGGAAACCGGAGTATCTGGAGTAAACCCTAACATGCACGGAGAGAACATGCAAACTCCACCCAGAAAGGCCCCCGGCCGGGACTTGAACCGGGACAACCTGCTCACTGGGAGGCAGCAGCTCTACCAGCTGTGCCACCGTGCTGCCCATTTTTATTAACATGACTTTTTGAAGTCCAAAGCAAACAGTAAAATGGCATGGGAGTGCAACAAAAGTCAGCTTTTTTTTATTCCTGTGTTCATTTCTAATAATTACTGTATGAAGAACAGCCAACACCTTGGATCAGTAAAAAATAAAAACACTAGGGTGAGAAAACAGTTAAAGTTGAGTCAGAGGAGACTTGTTTCACTTGATTCCAGGACTTTTGGGAGTGGCACCTACAAGCAATAACAAAAGAAAAGAACATCATTTAATATTTACATCAAACTGTGAAATTAGATCTTCTCTCAACCACTAACTGATAAAACCAGTAGCAGGCACCCCATTAAGACTGATTCTGGGATGTTTCTTGGGCACTTACTGATTTGAGATAGGCCACGTTGCTCTTTTTGATCTCGCTTAAGAGCTGATCACGAGGTGTGAGATCGACCTTCGGTGGTACTCGTCTGCGAGGAACAGGTTTCAAAGTCTTTATCACATCAGTAAGGTTTGCTTTTTCTTCAGACGTCTCCCTAGCTCCCGCATCCTTTACTTTAGGTGTCTTTCTCAGTTGAAAGCTTGGCCTCTCAGGTCTCCTGTCATCCCTTGGGTCAAGTTCCAATAATGGATTACGTTTCTTGGGCGTCCTCTTCAGTTGGATGTCCTGTAGTGGGTTTGATGATTCAGCCCTGGGCTCTTTGGGAATGCTGTTTTGTTTGAGATGCTTCTGTTGCTCTGGCTTCTCTCTCTTGTGTTGTGTTTGAGGAACACCGTTCATCTCTGATGAAGACGGGACGAGTCCCTGCTCTTGGAAGAGTTCCGATGGCGGTACGTACCCCAACATCTCGAGTAAACCCGGGGGCAGATTGAAACTTTTCTCATAGCTCTGCATCAGCTCCATCTTCTCCTTTAGCTGCTGCTGCCGCTGCTCCTCTTTCCTCAGCTGCCTCTGGCGGTCCAGATTCCTGGTTAAGATGTTGGTCACCACCATCCTGGGCCCTGCCTGTTCAAAGTGGTAGCCCATCTTCAGCAGGGTGTTGTTGGCCTTGAGCAGCCGAGAGATCTCCATCTCTGCATGATGGCCCAGCATGTGTCTCTGGTTGTGGAAACGGAGCTCTGTGAGGGTCTCATTGAACTGCAGACAGCGAATGATGGCCACAATGCCTTTTCCAGTTATGAAGTTGGACTCGATGTTCAACGTTGTAATGCTGCGGTTCTCCCTCAACATGTTGGCCAGACTGAACGCAATGTTTTCATCAACACCAGTATTTGCGATACTGAACGTTTTCACGTGTTTGTTCTTCTTCAGGGCGTTGACGTAATCCAGGAGCATCTCTTTGGGAATGTTCTCTATGTTGTTGAGGTTTACCTCCGTCACAGATGGGTTGTTGTTACGAATCTTGTCCAGTGTTGACTCTAAGTTTGTCTCATTCCCTGAAGGTCTGGATGTCATTTTTATATTGTTCAGAGCCAACTTGGGGATTTTTAATTTGTTCACTTTAATTTGTTCTCTCTTTGGGAAATTATTATCTGCTTCATTTGCATCTGATACTTTGGAAATGTTTTCAACATGCAAAATGTCTTTATTCGTAATTTCCTCCTTTTCTTCTTTGTTTGTTGTTTCCTTTAAATCTAAAATATTAGGTTCACTGGCTGTTTTATTTCCTGCTGCTGTTTCTGTGTTTGGGGGCTCTGCATGTTCATCTCTATCCTCAGGTGGGGGGGTTACAGGTACTGCTTTCTCTGTTTGTGCATCAATCTCTTTGTTGGTTACAACTTTCACGTCATCTTTTTCGACTGTTTCTTCAATTGGCGCTTCTACAATTTCTTCCCCGTCTGTACCGTCAGCTGCCTCTTCATCAATAACCTCTTCTATCACTTCATGTTCTGCCTCTTCTGAATCGCCATCTAAATCTTTCTTTTCAGCTTCCTCCTGTAAGATTTTCTAAAAAAATAAAAAAAAATAAAGTGAAGTTGTTAGAAATGGTGCACATCTTATCATGACTTGACGTTTAACTTGATAATTCGAAATGAAATGTGTGCAGACTTTGAGATTTTACCTCACTGGGCAACAGAGTGGCAGGTATCCTTTCTTCCTCGAGCATACGTTTGGACTCTTTCTCCCAGTAGAGATAATCAACGAGGGATCTGTGGTCAAAGGATCCTGTAGGAGTTTTCTCCGTCTGGTCTTTCTGTCTCTGGCCTACGGGTACGCTCTCATCTGGGGCAATAATAATGTCCATCTCACTCTGGAGCTCCTTCAGCTCCTCAGGTGAAAGCATTGCCAGGATTTCATCCTCGTCAATGTCCTCCTCACTGAGATCCTCGTGTTCTTGATTGTTGGACATGTACGTGTAGGTTCTCCTTTTTCTGATTTGAAGAGGACAGATAATTTCTGTCCAGCCTGAAGTTAGGGACTGAGCAAAGTGGGAAGCCTCTGTCTTTGACTTCAGCTTGAAACAGTTTGCCTCATGTGTCGTCTAAATTTAAACCCTGTGAATTGCATGGAAGATATTTAAAGTTCAAGCTGGAGAGTGACGCTAACAGTCTTTTTTCAGCCCTCGTCTCCCAGCTGGCATGGCCTTCAAAATCTTTTGGGATGGCAGTTGCTTTAAGTAGACTGACAGCAGCAGGTGGGTCATTCTTACTGGGCTGGATGGTGAATGGTGTTGGGGGTAAATACTCCACGGCAAACAGAGATCCTCCTAGATTGCTCTTGAAGCCGTAACTAAGAAGTACTGCATAACAACAAACCATTAGCCAGAAAAATGTTTCAACTTTATTATTATTATTTTTTACTTATTTTTTTCAATTTGTAGCTCTTTTTTATGATGGAGCTTTAGGGCCACGCTAAGAAAAAAAAAAACGTTATGAACGAGAATTAAGTCATAGTATTACGAGAATAAGTGGTAATATTATGAGAATAAAGTCAAAATAATACGAGAATAAACTTGTAGTATTTTGAGAATAAACTACCAGAACAAAGTCGTAATATTATCAGAACTCCGACATGAAAAAGCAGTCTTACAACTGCGGGAAAATGATGAATGTTGACGTCGGCAGCACAATAGCAGGGGTCCAACGTACTGTGGCATATTCTTATGATAAACTGAAGCTGGATGGTATTGCAATTAATGGCTGCACTGACGGATTTAGTTGCGACATAATGTGGATGGAGGCATATTTCACAAACAGTGACCCAAAAGTGACCGCAGACTATTTCATAAACACGGTGACTCAAGTTGGAGGCTGTCCACAGCAGTTGCGAGCCGACCTGGGATGTATTCTGAGTTTATGCTCGTAATATTATGACTTTATTCTTGTAATATTATGACTTTATTCTCATAATACTAAGAATTTATTCTTGTAATATTTAGACTTTATTCTCGTACGACTCTACTCTTGTAATATTACAAATTTATTCTCATAATTTTTACGACTTTTTTCTCATAATGTTTTTTTTTCTTAGCGTGGCCTTTATATTTCATCGTACTTTTTAATATTTTTAATAAGGATAAGAATAAAATATTTAAAAAAAAAAAACATACAGCAATTGTTTTATTTTTACGTTTAACAAAATAGGTAATGCTGAAATACACAAGGAAATACTAGGTTAGCTTAGCATAAAGGCTAGCATTAGCTTGACATATGTTTTATGTCCAAGTTTTAAATAGAAAAGCCAAGTATGGTAAATATCCTGATGCATGCTCAATAATCCAGGTAGAAAGTATGGTAAAGTTACCATGGCTTTATTTTGTTGCACTACAAGTTTTGAAAATGGATAAACATAACCTTCTTAAATATAATGACCTTCTGTGAGTTTTAGGAGCTTGGAAAGCTTGTCCTGGTAAAGCTAGGCTGTTTATCCATCCATACTTCCATCATTTCATCCATCCATCCATTATTTGCCACTTGTTCCAGAGTCAGGTTGCGAAGGGGCAACCGCTTGAGCAGGGAGACTCAAACTTCTCTTTCTACAGCAACCTATTCCAGCTCCTCTGGAAGGATTCCAAGACATTCCCAGGTTGTGCCTCTTTCACATCTTGGGTCTTGCAAATGGCTGAACCACCTCAACTGGCTCCTCTTCATGTGGAAAAGCAGCAGCTTTACTCTGAGTCCCCCATGGGTAACTGAATTTCTCACCCAACCTCTAACAGTGAACCATGTGGTAAAAAACTCGTACTCTTATCCAGGATATTATCCACTCTCCAAATCACCCTCTCCATGGCGAATGTGAGCTCCTTCCATCTGGGAAAAGATTCAGGCAGCCCAAATTATGAACAAATCAATGGAAAAACACTTTTGTCAGCCAGGCCATTTTTCAGATAAATTTTAAATGTAACCGGGCTTGATTTTGTTGTTCAGCCTGTTTTATTGATATTTGTACATGGATTTTTTTTTACTGTTTGCCAATTTTGTGGTGTGATTGTTTATGTGTTGTGTTTTAATTTTCTCACCACCTTGCTGCAAGGAAAATTTCCCTAAGGGGGACAATAAAAGTAATGATGATGGGATTATATTCCTTCTCTGAGTTTCTACCACAGGTGAGGGTAGGAACAAAGACCAGAGAACATCTCCTTGCAGCCCCGCTCCCTCTTCACCACAACATACCAGTATAGAGTTTGTGGTACTGCTGAAGCTGCATCAGTTAAATCTGTTACTATCATGTTCCATTCTTCCTTCAATCATGAACAAAACCCTGAAATACTTAAAAACGCCTCTATCTGAGGCACCACCTCACTCCCAACATGGACAGGTCGGTCTACCATTTCTGACTGAGGACCACACTCATCCCAGCTGCTTCAAATACAGTGACAGCTGTAAATTATGGTACAATGACAGCAAAAGGACTGTATCATTTGCAAATAGCAGGGACAGAGTACTGTGATCATCTAACTAGATTCTTTTCTGTCCTTGTCCACATTTCTGAGAAATTCAGTCTATAAATCTATGAAAAAAAAAGGCACCTTGTTGGAGTCTGACCGACCCCCCTGAAGGGATCCAACTTACTGCCAGTAATGTGAAGCAGACTCGTGCGTTGTTTGTTAGGAACTGAATGGATCATAGTCATGAAGCCAAATCCCATCCTCACAGAGCACCTCCCACAGGGTAACCTGGGGCCTCAATCAAAAGCTTCTTCAAGTCTACGTGACACATGTAGACTGGTTGGACAAACTCACATGCCTCTTTAATGAGAACCCTAATCAGGGTGGTCAGCTGCTTAACTGCTACTCTGTCATGTATGGAAACCAAGTCTTTAATTTTCAAACTTTTTTTTTTAATTCATTGTTTGAACTGATATTCACACTGTGTCTGACACATTTTAATCTAATCTGTTATCAGTAAGAGACAAAAGTGAGTTTTTCAGTCACGAGGGTGGCATATTTTCATGATCTGTTAGAAAGATGTCAATTTGTTTTTGCAATCCTGTTGACTCAGAGCAACAACTATCTTGTCCATTTGATTCAGGGGTATATTTATAATGGAAACTAAACCAGTTGTTTTCCAGCTGTATGTGCCTCCCAAAAGAAAAAAGGCAAACCCTGTCTATGTGTCACACATGTATTTATTCTCCTCATCATATCAAATGAAAAACCTTTAATGACAACATCTAACATGTTAACTACACACGGACTGTACAAAACGGTGAGAAAACAAACAGAATGATATGCTTTTCATGGCAGTGTCTTTTTTTTTCTGAATCAAAACATGTCTTTTTTTTTTATCTCACCATGCATTTTCAAACACTTACTGCACCAACAAGACAGATGACGCTATAAACAATACAGACTCACATTTTAATCCAACATGTCAAAAAGGGGGAAATCTGAATTCATCATAATCAAACGCTGCTCTAATGATTGAGTAGGCTCTCATAAAGTCACATTCGGGACATATTTGAGTTTTATTTTTGATCTGGATTCTGAACATGAAATGAAAATGATGGCTTTTTGATTATTCTACGTTTCTACTGTTTTTATAGGGCAGTAGTTCTTGTTTCAAAGTCATGTTGCTGTTTCTTTGTCTTTAATACACATTAGGATTTAAACTCCAGTGTAGCTGTGCAACATCTCGACACATTCTCATCTGCCTGTACAAATCATCCAATCCAAGGCACATGGGAAAGTCATTCATGAGTGTCATCACTGTGTTCAACGTTCACTTGGATATGAGGACAGCGTGAGCCTCTTTGTAAAAATTGAAAGGACACAATATCTCCAAAGGCTGTTTTATAGAGGCTGTAGAAAGTCCGTTTCAGCTCCATGTGCTGCTGGCCATGACCTGTTTGTGCCCAACTTGGATTTGGTCCTCTTCAGTGGATGCTCATGTAGCTCCCGCCAAGGAAAAACCTGCGCATGGAAAAGGACAAGAAGGTTTAATGGTTTGAAGGCAAGAAGCACGAGCCTATCGTTTGATAGAAAATGGAGAGATGGATGTGGAAATGAAATACATAAAAAAAGTCAAAACTATTTTGTGAAAATGTACATGAACGTAGAATAAATTAAAATAATTTGTCCTCACTAACTTGCTTTCAATGCAGAAAAAAAATGATTTGTTTCAAACATCTGTACTAATCTATGAATTTAAAATGATAATTCAGGTAGCTCTTTAAACCAGCAAATATTTACAGTGAATATGACTGAGTTGATGAGCTGCTGGCTTGTTGGAATTAAGTCGAGATTAAAGTGAATTGCTTGTATTTTTAAACAACTAATCTCAAAAATCTCATGTTGGTTTACATAAAAGGCATTTTATATACATTTAAACTGCCTTTATTTTCACATTACAAGGTTATTTTAACAGAAATATGATTTGATTCCTGCTGGATGTGGCCACTGGTTGCACCAGAAGTGATACAGCTCGTTGCTGCTGCCACTATTTGCACTCGTAAATAACCATAAAACTAAAGAAAGCAAATAAGTGTAATGTGAAACTGTAGCTGATAAAGTAACATTTTATAAAGTAATGCTGTTTAAAGACAGCAGTGAAGCCTTGGTACTGCTCGGACTAGCTATTAACAGATTATTTTGTGCAGAATTAAACTCTTAATTTTCCAAATCAAGGAAGTTTCAAAAGCTATCTGCAACAGGTAAGATATTCATAGTTCATAACCTTTCCACAGAATTCCACCTTAAAAAATTTGAACTGTTGCTTTAAGTCTAGCCAGCTTTAAGATGATAGATATGAGACCAGATGTGAATTGCTGCCTGATCTTTAGTGGGTCAGCACAGTACCTCCCATCTTCCCACATTCCTACGTAGATGCATTGTATTTTGTCAGCAGCTAACACCAGTTGTGTCTGATGTGAGGGAACACCTCACTACACATTTTGCCTTGATACTGACTAAGCTTTGACGAAAAATGTGATAACATTTCAGCTCAGTCACCATGGTTTCAAAGCTACTTCATGGGATCCGAGTAAACCATTTAGTTGACTGATCTAGAATGATAACAGTACTGAGGAGTTTCAATTTACAAAATGACTTTAAAACAATCAAATCCAGCAAATAGTGATATTTTTATTGTTGTGTTTTTACAATGATAATTTTAACAGGGTCGACGGGGCAGAGTGCAGATTCCAGAGACCATCTTAGCACCATCAAACTGGTTGACCCACTATATGAAGGTGCTTTTTATAAGACTGAGTTCGTTGTGGCTCCTAGGACTGATGAAGTCTTTTGGATGAAAGACGACACGTTTCATCAAAAAGAAACCGTCCAGAGGACTTTGTTGGAAATTTTACCTAGATTATTGAGCATGA